GCCCGCACCGAAAGGTCACCCCGGCGAAAGGTCACTCTGAAATGTAGTCGATTGTGCCGTGTCGCGGCGGCGGCCCCAGCGACACGCTATCCCTGCAAGCGGATAGCGTGTCACTCCGCTCCGCGGGGCGGGAGGCGGGGAAAAACTAGGGACGTTGACGCTCGGGGGGCTGGGACATGGATAGCGTGTCGCGCCGAAGCTCAGTGGGCCGGAACTGGCGGAGCGAAACGCTGAGCCAACGCTCTTAACCGCAATCCCCAAGAAGGCCGCCCAGGGCTCTGTGGACGCAGCGAGCGGTGCCTGAAATCAACTTCGGCCCCCATCCGAAAGACAGACTCGCTGGGCGCAGGCCGTTGTATTTTAAAATCGGGCTGGGCTAAAGAGGGGGATAGCAAAGGTGGGGGTTGAGAATCAACTCACGTTGGTGATTTTCCCGGCGCCTCCCGGGACCATTTCTCGATATATCGAGGAATGGGCCCGGCGGCGTGGCCGAAACCAGCTGCACGCAGCAGTTTTCATAACCCACCCTTTCCCGATCCCCTCCTTTCTTTCGGCCCGATAAAACTCGGCGGTGGACAAACCTCCCTTTAGTAAACCTCCCTTAAAAAAACGGCCTGGGACCGAAACCGACGGACCTGAACCTGCAAAAACGACGGCCGCGACGCCCTCTCGCGAACCGAAACGGCCGATTCGCTAATCGACGTGTCAGGGTAGGAGGTCTGTCCACCCCCGAGCTCTCAAGCCAGCGAGGCTCGGCCACAGGGGGGGCTCGTTGTGAGACAAGTCGGGGAGACGTAAGACGCCTGAGCATTCTCTGAGGGTGGAGGGCTCAGGGTGAAATCCCTATGGGCTTCCTGCGCCTCGGGAGTCAATCCGTCTTGCGATCCACCTCTTGCAGACTCCCTCGGGAATCCATCGAAACGGCATTTCAGATTTCACCCTTTGCCCTCCACCCAAAGAGAATGCTCGGGACGCGAATACGGGGGACTCGGGGATACGGGCGACGTGTCAGGGTAGGAGGTCTGCCCAGCCCCGAGTAAAACTCCCGACGCCCCCTCTCCAGAGGTCGGCCTTGCCCTGGGGGCCGTTGCCCTCCCAGGGCCGGACCATGCAGCGCCTCCGCCGCCCTCGCACGGTGGCCCAAGGGAGGGCCCCGGGAGGCCCCCCCCCCGAAAGGGGCCCCAGAGCAGAGGAGAGGTCCAAAAGGGCCCCTGGAGGAGGCAGGGAGGGGGAGGGGGAAGGAGGAGGGAGGAGGACGAGGGAGGGGGAGAGAGGAGAGTGGTGGAGGCAGGAAAGAGGTAGGAGGGAGAAGGGAGGGGGAAAGGAGGAGGGAGGAGGAGAGAGGATGAGGCAGGAGGGAGGAGGAGGGAAAAAGGAGGAGCAGGAGGGAGGAGGAAAGGGGAGGAGGGAGGAGGGAAGGGGAGGGAGGCGGGAAGAGGAGGGAGGAGGGAGGAACAGGCAGGAGGGAGGAGGGAGGGAGCAGGAGGAGGGAGGCAAGGGGAGGAGGGAGGAGGAGGAGGAGGAGGAGGAGGAGGAGGCAGGAGGCGATCCAGGAACGAGGCCCCGGGGCGCCCCCGCCGCCCTGTGGGCGCGACGCCTCCCGCCGGGCCAGGGCACCGGCCCCGGCGAGGCCCAGGGGGCTCGATGCCTGCTCGCCGGCATGCGTGGGCCACCTCGCCCACATTCACCAGCCTCGAACGTACCCCTCTCCCTAAGAGGGGCGGGCAAAAAGCGAGGACAACCTTAGGGAGGGGCCCTCAGAAACGGAGGAAATCCTTAAGATCGGCATCGAGGTGAGGTGATGTCAAACATAGGGATAGGGATATGTTTCAAACTGGTAATACATAGGGCCCAGGCAGACCGCAGAACATCCACCCTCAGAATTATCACACGAACGAACAACACACACCCATACCCGTAGGGGGGTCGTTGGGAGGAGGACTGGCTATGGGTATGGGTGCAAGTTGTCAGACCCTGGGAATCGCTCCCGTTCGAGCGGGGACTCCCGTCCGACAACACGCACCCATAGCCCTCTCCGACCCCCCTATGGGTATGGGTGTGTGGTGTTGGTTCGTCATAGTCGCCCCGAAACGCGGAGTCGTTTGGTAAACGCACCCAGAGAAGGAATCAAGCAGGGCAAGGCTGTTGTGACCGCCCAGGGCCCAGGGGGGGCTCGATGTCTGACCGCCGGCATGCGAGGGCCATCTCGTCTAAACAGAGGCCTCCTAGCTGGGGTCCGAGTAACTGGGGTCGGAGGCTTGCACTGGATCGCCGATGTATCGCCGATGCATCGACGATGCATCGACGATGCATCGGCGACGCATCGGCGACGTCGGCGTGGGGAAACACGGGCTCCGCATCGAGCCGCCTCGCCGATGCATCGGCGCTGCGGCGTGATCCTTTGACCCCATCTACTAGGACCCCGTCTGGGAGGGCTAGACTACAAGGGCCCAGGGACTCGGAGGGGGAACAGGTGCCCACACCGCTAGTTTTCGCCTCGCTGGGCCTCCTCGGAGGCCCTTATCGCCGCCGCTGGGCTCGCCTCGAAAATCTGGTTTTGCGCACCCCTGGAAAGGTCTGGGGAGTAGCGGTATGTCGGTGCCACTTGGTTTTCCCAGGGACACGCTGCTCCTTTTTTGGCCATCCAGAGGGAGCCCAGCGGCGAGAACGGGTGGCAACCAAAGCGCGGAAAAGCTGGAAGGAGGAGGAATAGGAGGCGGAGGACGAGGAACGCAACAGGCCCCGCCTCATGTCCGCTCAACGTCAAGAAGGAGAAGGAGCGAGGAAGACAAGCAGGGCGCCTGGCGAGCACGCGGGACAACGGCTGCCCAGGGCAGCCGTCGCGAAACAACTACTGTAATGATCCAATCAGCCCAGCGCGCCTGGGCACCTCAGCAGGCGGGGCCACGGGACACATAGATACACAGACACACATACCAAGAATCTCTTGGGTTTCGTCTTTCCCTCCGCTTCCAATCGTTTCCCATATTTCCGTGGGAATCGACGATGGTTTGTGTCTGACTGGATCAGGAAACTAAGGTCTGGAAGCCGGAAGAAGCACCAATTGAGTCTTGAACGTGGGTACCACTGCCACCGTCGTCACATCAAGAATCCCGAATCCCCCAGGGTCTGAAGCCTTCTGGGCACATTCCTTCACGAAGCCCCCACCGTATCCTAAGTGCACCAACATAGTACAACTCATCCGAGGCATCCCTTGTCATGTCCTCCTGCCCCTCTTTCTCCTCCGTCTGTCTTTCTCCCCCTGTCCCGGAGATTTGCCGATGTCGCGCTCTTCTGTCCACGCGTCCTTCCGGATGCTCGGCTCCGTGGTGGTGGTGGTGGTGGTGGTGGTGGTGGTGGTGGTGGTGGTGGTGGCGTGGAAGGGTCGAGAATCGAGGCTCGAGAAAACGAGGAGGAGTTCAGGTGCGACCAAGGCGGGTCCAAGGGACGAGGCTCGAGGAGGAGCCTCGAGGTCCGAGGAGCCTCCGAGGCAGCGAGGCCTGGAGGAGTCGCGGCTCGAGGAGGCCAGGGACGAGGAGAAGTTCCAGGTGCCTCGCCCACTGGCCCTGACGTCCTCGCGTCGACAAGCTGCCGCGAGGAGACATTCTTGTCTGAGACGCTCTGCCATCGGGCACCCTGGCTGGGACCTCTGAGCGTGAACATAAAAGTGCAGGATGAAGAACGGGCGAATGGGAGATGTGGGGGCCAAACAATATACACCACCGCCACCTCCCTCCCCCCCTCCCTCTCGTTGGACAGAGGAGAGAGGAGGAATCGACGTGGTGGCGGTGTATACTCTCTGGGCCCCCAAAACGGTTGAGACCTCGGGGGGGCGCAACGCTGCGAACAGAGGCACGACGCCGGATGTCTGGGAGCGGGGGACACGTGACACGGCCGACAGCCTCGCGTCAGGACGAGCTTGGGAGAGGAAGCACGCGGGGGGAGGACGGAGAGGAGAAGGCGCCGTCGTCGTCGTCGTCGCCGTCCCAAAACGAGCGCGCGCGCGCTCCCTCTGCAGAAACCTAAGGGAAGACCTCGACCAACAAGCCGACAACTCCTACGAAACGACCCTGACACGTACAAACGCGTGAAAACGAGTTGAAGTCCCTGCAGCTCAGCCTCGTCGTCGTCGCCGCCTCCGCGACAGTCGCTACCGCCGCCGCCGCCGCCGCCGCCGTCGTCGTCGTCGTCGTAGGCGTCGTCGTCGGCGTCGTCGTCGTCGGCGTCGCCGTCGGCGACGACGACGACGACCTCGACGACGACCTCGTCGTCCTCGCTCTGGCGCGCGCGTGGGCGCGCGGCGGCCAGCCCCCGCAGACACCCCCCAGGGCCTCCGTGCTCCGCCGAGCGCCCCCGAGGGGCCCCCGAGGGCCCCCGAGGGCCGGCCGAGGGCCTCATATATGGGGCGCCCTCACCTCCTCCTCCCCCTCTTCTTCATCCCCCTCCGCCCCCCACCTCCTCCTCCTCCTCCCTCCTCTCTCCCTCCTCCTCCTCTCTCACCTCCTCCTCCTCCACCTCCTCCTCCTCCTCTCCTCCCCCTCCTCCTCCTCCTTCCTCCTCCCCTCCCTCCTCCTCCCCCGCCTCCCTCCTCCTCCTCCTCCTCCTCGAGGGGCCCCCGAGTTCGACGCTGCGGAAAGAGTTGCAGCATCGCCAGAGGGCTTGCGGATGCCACGACAACGGACACCCTAACAGTCCTATCCTTGAGTTCACGATGTGTTAAACATGTAGGACACATGTTCTAAACATGGTTCTTGCATGTGTTAGAGATCTGGAAATTCTTTGGCAACACGCTTCCTCTCCATTGATCGTGCTCCAGAGCAGAAGGCACGACCGGAGCCCTAAACCCTAACCCCAAGCCCGAAACCCGCCACCCAAAAGCTGCAGCATCGCCAACAGAAAGCACAGGCCGAATCCTTCTGCGGCAGTCGTCGGACTCCGAGGGCTCTGCGCGGGCTTCCGAGGGCTCTCTGTGGGCGCGCGCGCGCGGAGCGTGCGGTGCGCCTATGTCGCCCCGTTCGGCCACCACCTCGCCGCTGCGCACCGCGCGCCGCTCGGCGGAGGCCGCGATGCGGCGGGCCACGTCCTCGCTGGCGGCGCCCTCCTCCTCGTCGACGAGGCCTCTGCGCGGAGGCAAGGAGGCCTCGATACTTCCGACCCTCGAGGCTCAAAGCGACGTGTCGCCGGAATGTCGCAGGCGATACCGCGCCCTGGACCCCCGAGTAAGACGAAGCGAGGACGAGGATCCATTCGGACGAGGATATATCGAGAATCTCTGAGATCCCGCGGCTCTGGAGAAGGTCTCGGGAACCGCGGCCTTCTCAGAGCGTTCCGGAACGCTCTGACAGCCTTCCGGAACGCTCCGGAACGGTGTTACCCCTCGTCTTAGCCACGTCCGACTGAATTCCCCCCCTAAGAAAAATCAGGCCGTCGAGACAACAGGGGGGGGATACCGCTCTGGGGCGGTTCAAACGCGCTACTGTCGAGAATGGACGTCGCACACTCCATCGTGTATCCGGGAGTCTGGCCCAAATATTTCCTTGTTCTGTCGAAAGAGGGGGATTGTTTAGCCTTCTCGATGTTCAAGGTTCGAAGTAATGCGGGATGACGATTAATCAAAAAAACGGGTGAGAACGATCAAAAAATAGTTTTCTGCTATTTCTATACAATTTTCCAACTGGAGAAGAACGATTAAAAAAAGTCCAGCCCGCGGCCGGTTTTTTCTGATCGTCATCCCGGGCGCCGCCGCGTGAACACGACCCCTGGTCATTTATTAATCGTAATCCTCCATTATTTGACTGTGTGTTGGCCTCTTCGAGGTTCGATCCTCGAGGCTCGAAGGTCGAGGTATTTGAGCACGTCCGCCCACAGTTTGGGGCCCTCTGGAGGCGTCTGGGGGCCTCAGCAAGCCTGAGGAGGGGAGCTCCGAACCCAGACCCCGTCGAGTCATAAAAAAAACACGACGGAAGGTTTTTCGCTATTTTCGTCCTCTGGAGCCTCCTACCGGGCCTCGGGACCGTCAAAAAACGGCCCAGGACAAAAAAACAGTCCCTGGGAAGGGGTCCAGACCTTTGGGGTCGACGTCATGAAAAAATCACGACGTCGGGGGTCTGGGAAGGCCTCCAGAACCCCCGAAAGGGGGGATCTGGATCTGGATCTGGATCGAAGGCTCATAGTTAGCCCAGAAGAGAGTGGCAGTGACAGGACCAAACACTCCACGCATGATCAGCATCGCACAACGGGCAGGGGGGCCCACCACCCTGCCGCTGAAGAGAAAAGGCTTGCTGCTGGCACAGCCAGCCGCAGTGAGGAGGAAGGGGGGATGGATGGGGAGGGGGTGGAGGAATTGAGGGGGAGACGAGGGAGCAGGGGGAAGGTGGGTATGGAGCGAAAGGAGGGTGAATGGAGGAAGGAGGAGCGGGGGAGTAGGGAGGAAGTGAGGGTCTCGGGTTGTCTTGGATGCTTCTAGGGGGATTCCAGGGGGCTCCACAGGAGGGAGTCGTGAGTGGGCGGAGCAATCGCTTAGCGATGCAACCCCCACTGCACCCCAATGCACCCCCTGAGTTCGACGAGCGCCGCGGGTCAGAGGAGGTGCCACGAACGAGGAACGTAGTAGCCGATACCAGCGCCGACACGACGAGGAAGTCTAGCACAGCGACCGACCTGCAGCTCGTCGACAAGCTCGCGTGGGCCTTATCCTTCTGCTTCTGCTCCTGCTTGCTCCCCCACACATGCCCGTTCCCCCAGTCGTTGTTTCCCCCATTTGCCCAGAAATCGCCTGCAAGGCACGCGCTCAAGTTGGCGTTTTTCAACATGGAGTCCACGATGAAGTCTTGCGCTTCGCGCGTAACCTCAGTGAGCCGAGGAGAACGATCACGATAAGGAGGGGAGGAAGTAGGCTTGAATGAGGAGGATACGAGGAGGAGGAGGAGGAGGAGACAGAGGGGGAGGAGGAGAAGGACGAGGAGGAGGAGGAGGACGACGACGAGGAGGAGGACGAGAGCAGCGAAGACAACAACGAGGACGGGCGAATGTGGGCGGGAGAAGGAATGGAGGACGTTGAATAGGGAGGGAAGAGAAGAGAAAAGGGAAGGAGGAAAGGAGGAGGAGGAGGAGGAGGAGCCAAAACAGCGGGATGAGGCGGGGCAGGGATACGTCGGTAATTATTCAGAGAAGGCGATATACCAAGAGAGGCAGAACGAGGAGGAGGAGGATGAGGAGGAGGAGGCGGAGGCGGAGGAAGAGGAGACATGGAAGGGGAAGAGGAGGAGGATAAACGAATAATGAACCGCGGAGGAGGGGGGAAATGAGAACGGTCCGGGGGGATGAGAAGCAGTATGAAAAGGAAGGCTGAGGAAAGAGGCCGGGCGAAAGAGGGTGAGGCTTTGTCGGAAACGAGCAGGTGACGCAGGAAACAAGAGGAAAACTAAGTGACTAGCAGTAAACGGCAGCAGGAGGAGTGATATGAGGAGAAGGGGTTGGAGAAAGGACCGGTGAAAGTGACGCGAAGCGAGCCGAGCTTGCATCCGTCGGCGCTCGGGGTCTGGCGTCTCAGACGGCAGACGCGCGAAATCTCGGCACTCGCGTCGACCCGGGCGTCGCCGGCGCGCTCGACCTGCATGGGTCCGAGCGCGGCGTGACGCTCTCGCGCTTGAACCCAAATCTGCGAACGAGCCGCCGCGACCTCTGGGCGCACTCGGAGGTCCTGTCACGTGATGCGCGGAAGGGGGGCCTACTCACGGGGTCCAGACGCGCCCACCTGCGTCGCAGAGAGCGGGGCCGTCGGGAGCCTGTTTATATATATACACATATATATACATATATATATATATATATATATATATATATATATATTTGTCCGGCATAGCGGCAGTCGTCGGCGCCGGCCCCCCGCCCTTCACCCCCCCCCCCCCAGATGACGTCACGTGCCGCGCCGGCGGCGTCCGGCACGCGCGCCTGTGTACACCACGGTGCTTGCGTGCACCACGGTGCCAGTGTACACCACCGCGGGTGTGCAAACCGCAGCAACCAGGCGCAACACAGCGCCTCTGTGTACACCACCGTGTTTCCGTGCACCGCAGAGGCCGTGCACACCACAACCCCTGTGCACACCACAGCATCCGCGTGCAACGCAGCGCTGGTGTACGCAGCAGGGCCTGCGTGCACAGGACAGGTAGAGGGAGCATGTAGGTGATGATCTGCTGCGCACATCTGAATAAACACCACGCCTGGGAAGTGCTGATCATAGAACGCGATGCGTTTCCCTCCTCACTCCTCCTCCTCCTCCTCCTCCACCTCCTCCTCCGTCACCCTTCCCCCCGTCGTGCGGGTCGGCGCTACAGCGCACGTGCGCATCGCAGTGTGCACCGCAGAATGGTCCATTGAATCAGTCCACTTGGTTCTCGGACGGCCAAGTCTGCGGGAGCCTTCTGGTAGCAGATGGAAGGAGTTAGGATGAGGCCGGAGGACTCGGGAGGACTCGTAGATTTCAGCGGCGCCCCCTTTGCACAAGGATTCCTTTCCAGATCCCATCTAAAATAAAAGTTTTCTATGGAATCCACAGGAGCTCAGTTTTGTCATACATATTATTTCTACACTTCGATATACAACAATGATGTCCTGTTGCGCACCGTTGCTGTGGTGCACATAGGCACCGTGGTGTACACAGGCGCTGTGGTTCACGCGGGCTGTGCGTTGTACACTGGCGCTGTGTTGCGCACGGCTGATGTGGTGTACCCAGGCGCTGTGGTGTACACAAGCACGCAGGCACTGTGGCACACACTAGCGCCGTCTTGAACGCGGCTGTTATGGTGTACGTAGGCGGTGTGGTGTACACAGGGGCTGTGGTGCACACAGGCACTGTGGTGTACACAGGCGCTGTGGTGCAGATCGCTGCTGCTACCCGTCCTCCGTCATTCCTGGGCATTCCCAGACGCCGCCGGCGCGAAACGTGACGTCATCGGCCCCCTCCCCCCCCCAGATGACGTCCGTTATCGGCCCAGAATAAAACAAACAGGCTGTGGTTGAAGCCGAGAGAGGACGTTTTTGTTCGTTTTGCTTCTCTTCCTCGCCGTCGACAAGCATGCGCCCTTGGCGCTGCAACGGCAGGGTACGCATGCCACGGAATTTCTCTTGGAGGCCGAATCAAAGGGAGAGCGTGCCAGGAGGGGGAGGGGGAACGAGCAGACGACGGCGGACGCACGGGCGGGAGGTGGGAGGCCAGAATTGACGGAGCATGCAGGCGGCGCGGGCAAAAGGAGACTGCACGCACGGGGGCGGGGGGCGGAGGAGAGGCGGAGGAGGAGGAGGAGGAAAAGGAGGAGAACTGGTGTAAACCCTAGTCACGAACGATGTTGCAGTAAACGTACCCTCCCCCCACGTTCCTCTTCATAGCCCCCAACAAGGAACTGGCTTCACTTGGGGAAGTGCCCCGAGGGAAGCCAATCGTCTGGAAATCCAGAACCGTGCCAACACACCATTCCTGGAAGTTCAACGACGAGAATCAACGTTACTGTTGCGCCCTGGCGGTCCTGAATTGTGCCAAAACACCATCTGGCACTTGCGCCTTGACAATCCTACACCATCTCAACGCACCATTGCTGGGATATGAACCGTAAGACCCCTTGAAATTCATGCACGCTCATAAGACACATGCGGGCGGCGCTAAAGCGAGAACCGTATTTTGAAAACGAACCACCCTCCATCCGTGAAGCTGCTCCAAACTTGTAAACCGAATGTGCACGGCGCAAAGGCGAGAACCACTTGTCGAACTCGGCCCGCCCTCCATCTGGAAAGCTGTTGCAACTTTTCAGCTTCGGGACCATAAGTGGTGAAGAAACTCAAGCGAAACTCCCGGCCTGTCCTACCGACACGTCTCAGGGTGCGACATGGTGCGAAAGAGAAAAGCGTTTTACCAGAAAAAAATGGAAGAGGAAGGGGAGAAGGAGCATCGGTGGAGCTGAGGGAAGCGGTCCTCTCCTCAGCGGCGCGGCAGGCGCGCCACGGGCCCGCGGGGCCAGCTCATGGTTTCATTCGACGAGGAGGAAGAGGAGGAGGAGGAGGAGGAGGAGGAGGAGGAGGAGGAGGAGGAGCAGGAGCAGGAGGAAGAGGAAGACAAGAGGAAGGAGGTGGTGGTGGAAACAAGGGAAGAGAAGGAGGAGGATGAGGAGGAGGAGGGGGGGCGGAGGAGGAGGAGGAGGAAGAGGAGGAGCGAGAGGAAGAGGTGGTGGTGGTGGTGGACGGCCATGAAGGCGGGCATGCAGCTACTCAGATCGAAAGTCGCTTCCGGAAGCCTCTGGTTCCTCGCCCGAGCCTCCACGAGCGGCCCGCACAGTATTCTACCCGGGGTCTTGACTCTGGGAGGAGGAGGAGGAGGAGGAGGAGGAGGAGGAGGAGGAGGAGGAGGAGGAGGAGGAGGAGGAGGAGGAGGAGGAGAAGGAGGAGGAGGAGGAGTGGAGGAGGAGGAGAGGAGGAGGAGGAGGGAGGAGGAGGAGGAGGAGGAGGAGGAGGAGGAGGAGGAGGAGGAGGAGGAGGTGAGGAGGGGAGTGAGAGGAGAGGAGGGGAGGAGGAGGAGGAAGGAGGAGGAGGAGGAGGAGGAGGAGGAGGAGGAGGAGGAGGAGAGGAGGAGGAGGAGGAGAGAGAGAGGAGGCGGAGGGGGAGGAGGAGGAGGAGGATTGAGGAAGGAGGAGAGGAGGAGGAGGAGGAGGAGGATGGGAGGAGGAGGAGGGGGAGGAGTGACGGAGGAGGAGGAGGAGGAGGAGGAACAGGAACAGGAAAAGGAGAGAAGGAGGAGGACAGTCAAGGACGAGGCGGTAAAGAGCTCAGGAAGGGGGGGCGAAGGGAGGAAGGGCCCAACAAGGGAAGTCGAGATATAAAGGGTGCAGCCATGCAAGGGGGGAGGAGCGTCAGGGCACCGCGGAGAAAGCGTGCAGTCAGGACGTCGGTGACAGGCAGGTGCGTCCACGACGTTTATGTCCGAACCAGCGCCGCCCATAATCCTATCCTTCATGACGCCATGGGAAGGACGAAGAGGAAGAGAAAACATGACGATGAGAAACACAACAACACGGGAACAGGAGGAAGAAAAGAGGTAGTGGTAGCATCACGAGGAGGAGGAGGAGGAGGAGGAGGAAGAGGAGGAGGAGGAGGAGGACGCACTCGTTTCTCAGGCCAGGATGATTCTCGCAGTGTTTCCAAGCTCGCTTCGCAACAGAGGCTGCAACAAGACTGCGAGCCAACTCGCGAGAGTGAGCTCGCTTTCAGCACAGACAAACCTGCAATACTTGCGCTGTGAATATTCATAATTCAGCTGATGAGGCACGGAATGAGCTGGCCTGGGGCACGAAAGCAACCGCTTGAGCCGCAAGGGGCGGCCAGGCGCATAAACAACAGCATTGTGCGCTCTGTTTCACTGGGGACCCTGTTGCACAGCGCTGCTACACGCACCTGGTTCTTTTGAGGCCAGCATGGTTCTCGCAGCGTTGCCAAGCTCGCTTCGCGACAGAGGCTGCAACAAGACTGCTTGCCAACTCGTGAAAGCGAGCTCGCTTTCAGCACGGGCAAACCTGCAACCGCCCGCCATTATCTGCGACCTGGCGGTTGAGGCGGCTCGTGCTTCTTAGACGACTCGTTAGTGAGATCACCAGCACACGCTTCATGCACACATTGCGACCAAAGGGATAGGCGGCGAGGGGGGCAGGGCTCTGCAATTTGTGTCCACAGGCGCCCGCCTGGCGCCTTACCTTCCAGCACCCGGTGGCGCCTGCCTGAGAAACGACGCACTGGGCCCGCCCAAAGGCCTGACATTTCATTGAGAATGCCTCGACCTCCATCCCAGCAAGCAATAGTAGTA